TTGAAGTAAATTATTAAAAAGATAATAATTTAAAAAAATTAAAAATATAATTAAAAATTAAATAAAAATTTTAAAAAAAAGAATAAAAATAATTATTTTTAATAATATTTTTAAAATTAAATAAAAATCAATTTTAATTAATAAATATTTATTTATTTCAAAATAATATATTAATTTATAAAAAATTTAATATATTTAATATAAAAAAAATTTTATTTAATTATATTTTATTAAATTTAGAAATAAATTGAATACTTGAGAATAATAGAATTTTTATATTATAATCCATTTATAATTAATTAAATGAATTTCTTTTTATATTAATTTTATTTAGAAAATAGAAAAACATAATAAATATATAATTTTATTCAGAAAATATAATACATTATTCTGATTTTTATTTAGAAATTATAAGATTTGTTCATGAAAAAATATAATATAAAAAATTACAAATTATATTTGGAAAAAAACATAAAAAATTTTAGAAAATATAAATAATATTAAAATAAAGAATCTAGTCTAATTATTCTTGGAAATCAAAAAAATTCAAATAATATAAAAATATTAGAATTTTTCAATTATTCTCAAGAAATATCTCAATTAATAATTGTTAATTGATTTAACAAAGAATTTATTTAAAATTTCTGGAAAGTCACCATCACTTGGAAATCTTAGAATTTAAAAAACAAGAATTTTTTTAGAATTAGGATTTCATTCACAAAGTTATATAATTCAAATTTTATTTTCTTATTATGTTATCATCTTGAATGACGAAATATCAAAAATTCTGCATAACACTAAATCAAAATATATATGAAAGAATAGTAATTATTACACGAAAAATTCTTCAAGTTATCAATATGTATCCATAAATCCAATGTAACTTTTATTAAAGTTTATTTAGCTATGAAGATTATCGATGATTTCACAGCCACAACATAAAATTTTGAGAAATGAATCAAAGTATCACAAAATTCACGTGCTTAATATAATACAAACGATAAAAAACTTGCATCACAGAACTTTTCTGTGTAACAATGATTTGCAAATAAAATGCACTCGAATAGTAAATAAACGAGAAGCTGTTTATATTTCCAATTATAAAAGAATTTATTATCACAGCAAGAACAACAAACGTTTAATTTCGTATACACATCCGGAAATCATTATATCAACATTAACAAAATTTAACAAAATATTGGTAACTTAATATGACCAATATCAATCCCAGTTTTACACAACTAAGACGCACTATTCCAGCTGCCAATATTGACAAAGTTGATGATATTTATAATGAGAAAAACATCGACGCGTTGTATGAAAAAATAGACGGAGCGAGTAAACCATTGTACCGAGGGATTATAAAAGCTCTTATATTGAGAAATAATGCACCAACACATGACTCAGTGATCGCCGATTATATTCAAGCGTTTAATTTGGCTCACTTGGGGTAAGTCGGTCTTGTTTATTTCTGAGTGTAAGTAATCATAAATTTAACAATTGGAAAATCACATGTTGATTCGTATAATCGTCTTAAATAACAATTATTGACTGATTTTTGTAGTGGCAAAACTCCACAA